TCTCACTCTGTTATCCAAGATGGAGTGCAGTGGACAGATGACAGTTCACTGCAGTTTTGTACTTTGGGGCAAGTTATCCCGTCCTGGGCTTAAGTGGTCCTCCCACCTCAGGCTCCTGAGTACCTGAGACTACAGGCACATGTCATCACGCCCAGCTAATTTCTTTTTTAAATTTTTTGTAGAGGAAAGGTCTTCCTTTGTTCTCCAGGCTGGTCTTGAATTCAAGCAATCCTCTCCTGCCTCGGTCTCCCGAAGTGCAGTGATTACAGGCATGAGCCACCACACCCGGCCTTGCTTATGTATTTTCATACCATTTCTTCCCTTGTCCCTCTGTAATGTAATCTCCCTGAAGGTACAGGCTGTTTTTTTTTTTCTTCCTAGCTTCACCATGTTGGCTAGGCTGGTCTCAAACTCCTGACCTCAAGTGATCTGCCCACCTCTGCCTCCCAAAGTGTTAGGATTACAGGTGTGAGCCATCATGCCCAGCTGAGGGTAGAGACTTTGTCTTATTTATCATAGTATCTCCAGTACTTAAGATGTGTTTTTCCAAGGCCCTAGAACAGTGCCTGGCACATGGAGTATAATATAGTAGTTCCCTCCCACCCCCTTATTCAGTTGCCCAAAGTCAACTGTGGCCCAAAAGTATTTAATGTAAAATCCCAGAAAAAAAAATTTGTTATTTTTAAAATGGATCCTCTTTTTTTCACTCTGTTGCCCAGGCTGGAGTGCAGTGGCACAATCCTGGCTTACTGCAACGTCTGTCTCCAGGTTCGGGCAACTCCCCTGCCTCAACCTTCTGAGTAGCTGGGATTACAGGTATGTACCACCACTTCCGGGAAATGTTTGTATAGTGTTTCGCCATGTCAGCCAGGCTGATTTTGAATTCCTGGCCTCAAGTGATCTGCCCACCTTGACCTCCCAAAGTGCTGTTATTACAGGCGTCAGCCACCAAGCCTAGCTGAGTACAATGGATGTTGTTCTCAGTATCATGATGAAATCTTGCACTGGCCTGATTGTCCTGCCCAGGGACATGAATTATTTTTTGTCCAGCATTTCCATGCTATACATGTTACTTAGTAACCAACTGGGTTATCAGATCTACTGTGTCACTATTGCAGTGCTTGTATTCAGGCAACCCTTACTTCACTTGCCCCAAAGTGCAAGAGTAGTGAGGCTAACATGTTATTGTAATTGTTCCTTTTTTTTCTTTCTTCCTTTTTTTTCTTTTTTTGAGATAGAGTCTCGCTCTTTCGCCCAGGCTGGAGTGTAGTGGCACGATCTTGACTCACTTCAACCTCTGCCTCCCTGGTTCAAGCAATTCACCTGCCTCAGCCTCCCGAGTAGCTAGGACTACAGGCACATGTATACAAAAAATACATAATTTTTTGTATTTTTAGTAGAGACGGGGTTTCACCATGTTAGCCAGGATGTCTCAATCTCCTGATTACATGTCTGTAATCCCAGCTACTCGGGAGGCTGAGGCAGGAGAATTGCTTGTATCTGGGAGGTGGAGGTTTCAGTGAGCCAAGATGGCACCACTGCACTCCAGCCTGGGCAACAGAGTGAGAGACTCTGTTTCAAAAAATAAAATAAAATAAAAAATAAAATGTAAAATATATTTTAATTCAGAATTTATCCCATGAACGTCTTACTTTTTCATATTGTAAGTTGAAACAACTAATTGAGTCATGCTTCCTAAGGCCTTCTTATTTTAAAAATCCATCCTGATTATTCAGTGGCATTTTGGATATTTTGAGTAATTCATCTGTGCTAGAATACATATATTTATTTTTATAATTATCTATTGCTTATAGCAGCTATGGGATGAGCCAAGTAATGGGTCTGAATTTGGAAACAAGGTCAACATAACATTTTTAGGGTCACCAAATGACTGTCCGGAAGTAGCTCTGAAAACAAAAGCTGCTTTTGGGAGAAAGAAGCTCATTCTTCTTCCTGTGGTTCATATGTCAAGAAATTATACCATAGCTCATTCCATTGCCAAACCAGAAACTTTGAGGTCATAGCATTGGCTCAACCCATAGATGAATGTTTCAAGGAAGCCTTCTGTAGCCCCCGGCTGAGTTAGGGCTACCATAATGCTTATAAAAAGTATTATGGTAATACTGTGGCACTGTGGCTCACGCCTGTTATCCCAGCACTTTGGGAGGCCGAGGCAGGTGGATCACAAGGTCAGGAGATTGAGACCATCCTGGTTAACATGGTGAAACCCCATCTTCTACTAAAAATGCAAAAAATGAACCTGGCATGGTGGCATGTGCCTGTAGTCCCAGCTACGTGGGAGGCTGAGGCAGGAGAATCGCTTGAACCCAGGAGGCAGAGATTGTAGTGAGCCGAGATCGTACCACTGCAATCTAGCCTGGGCAACAGAGCAAGACTCCATCTCAAAAACAAAAAACAAAAAACAAAAAAGCAGTAATCATGTTGTAGTCTCATTACTGGTTGATTATAGGTTTCTTGAAGATGAAGATCATATATTCCTTTCTTTGTTCGACACTGAGTAGTACAGAGCTTGACAAATATGTAGGTGGTCAATACATATTTGAATAAATACATAATTGAATGAATATGGCATTATATGATATAACATGACATTAGTATAGCTGGCACAAATTAGAGTAAGTTCAATCAGAACAATTTCAAGTAATTCCCCAAAAGGAAGTAGCCAAGAGAGAGTTCAGGTCTAGTCACAGTTACTAGAAACTCATTCATTGGGAAATCAGTCTTAAGGGGCAAGAAATCTAGTCTTTTCCTTCTCTAGAAGGAAAAGTTTAATGGGAAAATAATGCAAAGAAGAGATACTTCCCTTCTCAGAAACTTTTATTCTGTTGGTGAGGGATAGAGGCATTGGAGTATGAAGGAGAGAAACAAGAGGACAGAATTATGCAAATAAATACATTAAGAAGTATTCATTAGCTAATTTTAGAACAAATCCAGAGTAGCTTTTAATGTGATATATTTATTTTGTACCTATTTCAAAACACATATTTTCAATCACAATTTCATGTAATTATCTTAAAATTAATATTTCTTTATATTACCTTCACATGCAGAAGTTGGTTGTCAACAGCTATGAGCTGATTAAGATTCTCCAGTATTTCTAAGTCTTTAATGTCATCAATATTATTATTGCTGACATTCAATATAGAGAGGGATTTCTGTAAGAAAAATAACCAAGTTAGCATTAGTAAATAGTCTAAATACCATATATAGGAACCAGAAATACTAATCCTGGAAAAGTTTAAGCTTGATCAGTTTAGGTTGTTTTGTTCTTTAGGCAAGAACATCAAAAGCCATGAAATTCTTTTTGTTGCATTTTATTTTTCAGGTGGAAGTTTTAGAATCATAATATATCATATAACTTACTCTTTCTCCCTATAATTCCTCCATAAGTCATATTTCCTTTTCCAAGATACAAAATAAATGTATAGAATAAAGAAGCCAAGAATAAAAAAACAAAGAAAGAAAAAGATGCACCAACAAACGAATAATACAATATAGAAAAAATGCTTACTGTGGCTTTAGCAAATTATCATTTTGTGCTAAATACTAAGATTTGTACTTACATAGGGGCTGGGTGCGGTGGCTCATGCCTGTAATCTCAGCACTTTAGGAGATGAGGCGGACGGATCACTTGAGGTCAGGAGTTCGAGACCAGCCTGGCCAACGTGGCAAAACCCTGTCTCTACTAAATATAAAAAATATTAGCCAGGCATGGTGCTGTGCACCTGTAGTCCCAGCTACTTGGGAGGCTGAGGCAGGAGAATCGCTTGAATCTCAGAGGCAGAGATTGCAGTGAGCAGATATCATGCCTGGGTGACAGAGCGAAACTCTGTCTCTAAAAAGATTTGTACTTACATAGGAAGAAACAGTTTTTGTCTTTGTTTTGCTAAATAGGAAACATACCAAGAACAAAATAATATCTGGTTTTTATTTTCCTCTCTACCTGTCTTTATGGTTTTCTCTTGACAATCCATATGTTCAAACTAGTTAAAATAATAATTAGCTAATTACCAGGAATTTCAGTGTTGCTGTAACACTAAATCAAAGTCATCTTATGAGGCTTAGGAATATCTACCAAGATGGAGTCAACCATTGCTTCATGGCCTTTTGGCTGAGATCAAGTGTAGTATCTGTTTTTATTAGTTTAAGTTTAAAAAAAAAAAAAAGATGGAGGCATCCATCATGCACAGCCAATATTTAGAAAAAATATTTCCTGATACTAAAGTATTGGGGGAACTACCTCTTAATTTTTATAAATTTGGGTCAAAATCCATCCACTATCCTCTATTTCTGGGCCCTCTAAAATAAAACTGATGAGTCTGGGCATGGTGGCTGACGCCTGTAATCCCAGCACTTTGGGAGGCCGAGGTGGCAGATCACTTGAGGTCAGGACTTTGAGTTCACCTGGCCAACATGGTGAAACCCCATCTCTGCTAAAAATACAAAAATTAGCCAGACATGGTGGCATGTGCCTGTAGTCTCAGCTACTTGGGAGGCTGAGGCAGGAGAATTGCTTGAATCCGGGAAGCAGAGGTTGCAGTGAGCCAAGATTATGCCACTGCACTCCAGCCTCAGCGACAGAGCAAGACTCCATCTCAAAACTATTTATTTATAAATAAATAAAATAAAATGGATGAAATCTGTAAAACAACTACCATGTCCCATTTATGTCTCCTGCCCCAGATTTGAAGTTAGCCTATCCCCACAAGTCTCTTGTTTTGAGGATTAGCAGGAGCCTAAGTGGTACCCTTTGGCTTCTCAATTTATTGTAGCACCTCCATCCAATGTAACTGGTTGTCAGGCGACACAGTTGGAGCCACAACCCCAGGGCTCCCAGGCCTACACAGTTCTGATGAGGTAGAGCTGTATGTAGTGCAACCTACAATCAAATCAGGATCCTGGGAGGAAACAACTTATTATTACAATGGCTCTCTACTAGATTGTTTAAAAGTTTCCAAATAATTGCACATTCCTCTTCCCTTAGCCTTTTTCCTAAAATTTAAAATGTTGAGCCATGATAATCACCAAGGTCCACATTATGAATGAATGAACATCTGTATTAGAACTTCAGTTAACATATCTTTTAACACTCTTCTTTTCTTCCATCCAGTTACTGAAAGAGGCAGATTTTATTATCCCACTTCATAAATGCTAAGTCTCTGAGATTGCACATGAGAAAATCAGCTTCGGTGCTCAGATATGCTCTGAGCTGGCCATATAAACATGCAGAGTATGTACAATGTCCAAATATACCTTCACTGTATTCTTGTTTCATTATAACTTGTTAATCACTATTATTCCTCGTCAAAATATTCAGATATGAACTTACTGCCAGGGAATGAAGAGTTCTTGGATCAAACAGAAGCTTTTCCCCAAGGGGAAGCCTCTGACTCTCAACATGAAGCTCTCTTAGTTCTCCTAATCCTTCTAAACCTTCTATGACAGCAATGTAATTGCCTCCCAGATACCTGTAAAACATAGACACAGTTCTAAATAGCATTCTGGGAATGTCGTGGTCTTTATTAAACATGACAAAAGTGTAATAACAGAACCACTGAGCTGAACAAAATTATAAATGTAGACTATTATGTTTATATTGAATCTATGAAAGGTTGGTTTACTTAAATGAGAACAAATTATATTCTTACGCTTAATTTAGTCTAAAAATGCGTTTCTTTTTTAAAAAGTGAGCAAATTGTAATAGTTATTAAACTATCTACCAGGGTTCTTTATATATCACCTAACATATGAAGAGCCCTGGTAGATAGTTTGATAATAACCATTTCTGGGTTGTAGGTTTAAAAAATGAAGATTTCATGGCTAGGCACAGTGGCTCACACCTGTAATCCCAGCATTTTGGGAGCTCAGGAGTTCAAGACCAGTCTGACAACATAGGGAGATCCCATCTCGAAAGAAAGAAAGAAAAAGAAAGAAGGAAGGAAGGAAGGAAGGAAAGAAAGCCAGCCAGTCATGATGGTGCATGCTTGTGGGAAGATTACTTGGACCTGGGACGTCAAGGCTGTGGTGAGTCATGATCATACCACTGCACTCCAGCCTGGGTGACAGAGCGAGACTCTGTCTCAAACCAAGAGATAAAAATAAAAATGAAGATATCTGGGCCTAACCCCTGGAGAGTCTAATTTGGTTATGTAGTTTGGAACCCAGTGCTCTGCATTTTTAATAAGAATTCACCAGCCAACTCTTGTGTCTGAGGCCTTTAGCCCATTCTTTGAGGAGCGTGGTAGTTATTCCAATCTGGGGAGATTGGATCCACCAATCTTCATTGCCTAATTATAATCATTATAGGCATGATCCACCATGCCCAGCTACCAGTTACATTCCATTATATAATTGGAAGCCATCTAGATATTCAATGCCTTTTTACAATCAAGTTTACATCAATAGGATCAATTATATGAACAGATGGTATGAGATGTGTGATTCTGAAAGGCACATAACTCATCTGGGTTCCATGGAAATTTCTTTCATCAGTTGAGCCTACATGGGGATGTTTTAGGTATCCCTATTAGCCCTAAGACAACCACTCCCTACAATGAAAAGTATATCAAGCTTAACAAAACACAAATTATTAAGCATTATATGTGTGAAATGATTTATTTCTTGTTAATAATAGTACAAGAGAATAAAAACTGAGGTCTGTTCCACAAAACCCATGTGGGAATCGTATGGGTTTTTTCATATGAGTATGAAATCATATTGATTTCATATTCAATTTACTTTTGGAATTTAATGCAAAAAATGGAAATGCCTGCATGCAAAATAATTTAAGTACTATAATCATGAAAAACAGATACATTTAAAAAAAATAAAAGCACTTACAGTTTTTCCAGTTTCTTTAATGACCTGAGATTCTCTATACATGAAATACAATTGTTTTGTAGGTATAAGTGGGTCAGATTTGTGGCATAATTCAGGTTAGTGATTTGACTAATACAGTTATCATATAAATATAAAACACTAAGATTTTTGCAAAGAGAGAGGTCTTCCTAAAAGGGAAACAAAAACATGTCAAATGTAATTTCTCCTGAAAACTTAAAAGTTAGTTTTTAAGAAAAATTTTCAGTTGATCATTCTGCAAATTTCCCTAAAGTTAATATAAGAACAGTATTTCTCCATTCTTAGCACAGTTAAAACAAGACTAGAATGATTACAAAAGAAATTCTAGACTAGATTGATTACAAAATAAATTCTGTAATTTTTTTCTTTTTTTTTTTTTTTTAACATTTCAAGTCTCCTATCAATAAAATTGTAATTGTTAAGATTTTCCCAGTGCAAGCAATTTTCCCTGGAAGCAATCAGGCTCCTCTGGAAGTTGAAGCAAATTATTGTCTCAACATTATAAATAGGGTTTAATGTTTATTTAGGATTGGAAGTCAACTACTATGGCTTATAATATTGAAAATTGGAAGTCATCTAGATATTCAAGAATCATAGATTAATTTTTTAAAAACTATGATAATGATATCTAAAGGAATACTGTAGAACCATTAAATACCTTTTGTTTCTTCAGTAATATCTAATACATAATTAAGTGAAAATCATAATATATAATTAAGTGAAAATAGTACATTCAGTATGACCCACTATTGTGAAATTATATGAATAAAAGACTGAAAGGATATTACCTAAATGTTAAAAGTGATTGTGTCTGAACAGGATTACATTCTTTCTTTTTATGTGTATTTTATATGACTAAGAACACCAATTACTTTTTTTTTTTTTTTGAAACAGGGTCTCACCCAGGCCAGCATGATCATGGCCCACTGCAGCCTCGACCTCCCAGGCTCAGTTGATCCTTCCATCTCAGTCTCCTGAGCAGCTAGAACTACAGATACACACTACCAGGCCCGGCTAATCTTTAAAACTTTTTCATAGCAATTGGGTCTCATTTGGTTGCCCAGGCTGGTCTCAAACTTCTGATGTCAAGTGATTCTCCCACCTTTGCCTCCAAAAGTATTGGGATTACAGGTGTGAGCCATTTCCTCTAGATTTTCTGGTTTGTGCATATAGAAGTGTTCGTAATAGTCTCTGAGGATCTTTTGTATTTCTGTGGAATCAGTTTGCCATTTTCTGAGTGTGACCATATGGAGCTTCTGCTTTTCTTTGTTAATCTAGGTAGGAGTTTATCAATCTTGTTTATCCTTTCAAAAAACCAATTTTTTTTGTTTCATTGATCCTTTTTTTTTTTTGAGACGGAGTTTCACTCATGTTACCCAGGCTGGAGTGCAATGGCGCGATCTTGGTTCACTGCAACCTCCGCCTCCTGGGTTCAGGCAATTCTCCTGCCTCAACCTCCTGAGTAGCTAGGATTACAGGCACGCGCCACCATGCCCAGCTAATGTTTTGTATTTTTAGTAGAGACGGGGTTTCACCATGTTGACCAGGATAGTCTCAATCTCTTGACCTTGTGATCCACCCGCCTCGGCTTCCCAAAGTGCTGGAATTACAGGCTTGAGCCACCGCGCCCGGCTCATTGATCCTTGCATGTATTTTTGAGTCTCAATTTTGTTTAGTTTTGCTGTGATTTTAGTTATTGTTTTCTTCTGCTAGCTTTGGGTTTAGTTCTCATTTATCTAGTTTCTTTAGATGCAATATTAGATTGTTAATTTGAGATCTTTCTAATTGATACAGGCATTAGTGCTATAAACTTTCCTTTTAGCATTGCTTTTGCTGCATCCCATGTATTTTGATATGTTGTGTCTGTTTTCATTTATTTCAAATAATATTTTGATTTCTGCCTTAGTTTCATTGTTTATTCAAAAGTCATTCTGGAGCATGTCATTTAGTTTCCATGTAATTGTGTGGTTTTGAGAGATCCTCAGTATTGATTTCTATTTTTATTTTACCATGGGCTCAGAATATATGCTTGGTATGATTTCAATTTTTAAAAATAATTTTTGAGACTTTATGGCCAAGCATGTGGTTGACCACATGTTCCGTACGCAGCTTTATCAGCATTTATCTTGGTGATAACATGGATTCCATGACAAATGTTGATGGTACAATTTTTATGTTTTAAAAGTGGGTGGTTTGCTAAGGAAAATATGAAGAGAGCTGGTTTCACTTTTAGTGGTTGTCATTTAATAAAGTGAGATGTGGGGCTGGACGTGGTAGCTCATGCCTGTAATCTCAACACTTTGGGAGGCAAAGGCAGGAGGCACACTTTACCCCAAGAGTTCGAGTCCAGCCTGGGCAACATGGCAAAACCCCATTTTTACTAGAAATACAAAAGTTAGCCAGGCATGGTAGCACATGCCTTTAGTCCCAGCTACTTGGGAGGCTGAGGTGGGAGGATCACTTGAGCCTGGGAGGTGCGGCTTCAGTGAGCCGTAATCACACCACCATACTTTAGCCTGGTTAACAGAGTGAGACCCTGTCTCAAAAAAAAAAAATAAATAAATCAAGTGAGATGTGAGAAGGAATTTTTCAATTCTTGAAATGCATATAGGGATAGTCTTTATGCCTAATCAAGCCTAAAACACTTTTTTTTTTTTTTTTTTGAAGGAGTTTCCCTCTTGTTGCCCAGGCTGGAGTGTAATGGCATAATCTTGGCTCACGGTAACCTCTGGCTCACTGCAGCCTCCGCCTCCTGGGTTCGAGTCTCCTGCCTCAGCGTCCTGAGTAGCTGGGATTACAGGCATGTGCCACCACGCCCCACTAATTTTGTATTTTCAGTAGAGATGGGGTTTCTCCATATTGGTCAGGCTGGTCTCGAACTCCCGATGTCAGGTGATCCACCCGCCTCAGCCTCCCAAAGTGCTGGGATTACAGATGTGAGCCACCGTGTCCAGACTAAAACACTTTTTTAAAAAGAGATATGTGTTACATATAATTAAGCCAGCTATTAGAATAATGGTATTACTAAACTATGTTACTAACTTTTGAAAATTTTTTAGTTTTGCAGTTTTCTTTTTTCCTGCTGCCCCCAAGTTTTGCAGTTTTTATGACATGTTAGCAAGTTTTTATGGTGGAACTTTTCTTTACTGACAGGTGCATTCCTTGTAAAGGTTCTCGGTTTCCCCCAACCCTTCCACGCCCTGCTGTTGCTATATTATCCTTTAAGCTTCCTTACTGTCAGATTGCAACAGATAAAGGACAAATGGAGGTATGTGGAAGTCTTATCTTAACACTTTGAATTTGTTAATGCAGTACCTGTGATACATACCCTTTAAAATTGTCATGGTGGCCAGTATTGGATATTCATTACTGTGTAATTACATAAATAGGGGTAGCAGGGAGGAAGGAGGACTGCTTATGATCACCAGACCACCTGATTGCCATCACTACTTCTAGGAACTTTGTCTACTAAGTAAATGGGTGTGACTGTTAGGGACCCACTAGGCAAAGACTTACTCTCAGGATGAGGATATCCCTGAGAATAAGTGCCTCCATATATTTTGTGCCATAGGCACCTGGCTTGCCTGACCCTAGTCCTAGTCCTAGCCCTGTGTCATCAATTGTCATCAGAAATATTGCAATTAGTTACTCTAAATAAGAAATAAATTAACTTTTAAAAAGCTAGTTTACCAAGTTCTCTGAGCATTAACTGTGATAGCTAGGAAACTGTATTAAATGCCATATTCCTCCCCAACCCCCATTTTTAAGGATAGGAGAAGAAGTTAAGCTATAGTATCATACTAGAATTTGAATTGTAAACTTGTAGAAAGGACTTCAGAAAATTTTATTGAAAACTGGTGTCTTAAATATTTAACGCTTCCCTCATATTAAGGTGATAGTTGTCCTTAAGCAATTTTATTTCTTTTGTAGGAGCAGTTTTGGCGTTCAGTTACATTTCACAACCACCTTGATTATTTAGCTAAAAATGGTTATGAGTATGAAGAGAGCACTAAAAATCAAGCAACAAAAGAGCAACAGGAACTTTTAATGAAAATGCTTGCGGTTAGTAAAATAAATATACTGAAAACATTAAAGTTAAATGCTTTTATGTAGGTTGAATTTCTTAAAGGTTTATGCATTAGGACTGAGTCCTACAACCTAAGATTCTTAAGTTTTGTCTGGTGGTGTTTTCCCCCTTAAAATTCTATTTTCTAGTTGATCTTGCAGTTAAAATATTTAAAACATTACCTTGTAGCTAAGATTATGTGCAGGAATAAACATCTCTGAGGTTACTTCCCTTTTGCTTTTGCTTATCAGTCCGTTTTAACAGGCCCTCCAGGTGACTGAGAACCACTGCTCTGGTTTCTATTATTATTTTACAAAGTGTGAGTGTAGACTGTCTTTTAATCTTCAGGACTTGGCAGTCTTAAGAACTTTGATCAGGTTTTTAGATATGCCTGCCTTTTGTCATCCTCTTTGGGTTAGGCAGCTGTGTATGGTGACAGTTTATTTGTGGCCAGCCACCAGGCTTGGTGTGTAGAATATTTAAGTACATTTATCTTTGGAGCAGGGTGTCTTAAAGTTCCTGTGCTTGTGTCTCCCCTCAAGGTTGGTTTATGGAAAGGAGTACGATATCATTTCTTATCTGTTTGTCTTACACTAGACTTTAAGCCTCTGAAGGCAGAGACCTGCTTACTGCTGTATGCCAGTTATTGACATGGTGCTTAACACATAATAGACTTCAATATTTGTTGGCAGAGTGAATGGTCCAGACTTTTCATTTTAAAGTTGCAGAAAAAGGGTTCTTAGAGAAAAGTGGTATATGAGACCACAAAGCAAATTGCAACTCTTTCTTTTTTCTTTTTTTTTTTTAAGATGGGGTTTCACCGTGATGGCCAGGCTAGTCTTGAACTCCTGACCTCAGGTGATCCACCCACCGCAGCCTCCCAAAGTGCTAGGGTTACAGGCATGAGCCACCATGCCCGGCTGCAACTCTTTCTCTTTAAAAGGCAGTACTTACTACGGTCACCTTTATGTAACATGGCCTTAAGTTTGGTGTTAAGAAAATTCAGTTTATTGTACAATAAGTTTTATTCCTTTTATAAAGTGTTGCTTGTGGTCCAGGAACCAGCAGACTTTTTACTTTGTACAACACATGTAAGGAAACATGTTTCGTGTATTTACTATTTAGCCTTAGAGGAGCTTTTCCTTGTGGCAGTGTTTCTCAATAGGGGACTGGTGTCTTTGGAGATTGGTGAGTTCTTTAGCATTCCTGGCCCCCAGGCAAATGCCTTTAGTTTAGCATAGTCAGTGTGAAAATCAAAGTATTCCTTTTTATTAATAAATGCCCCCTAAGGCAGAGTACCATCCTGATTAAAAAGTACTGATTAGATGTTCAGCTATAGGAGCTAAAGGAAAAGAAAAAAAAAAAAAGCACTGATTAGAGATAAATGATACTAGATATCTTGAAAAGGACATCCAGGTGAATATCTAAAGCTTCTGTGCTGAGGGATCAGACCTGGAGTATCTAAGGCAGAAAATAGTTCTATGAATTAGGAAACCCTTAGTAATCGTCAAAGTACCAATTTTTCTCAGTTTGTTGGTTTTCTTTTTTGTATTTTTTAGAGACAGGGTCTCACTCTGTCACCCAGGCTAAAGTATTATGGCAAGATTGTGACACACTGTAGCCTCAACCTCCTGGACTCTAGTGTTCCTCCTGCCTCAGTCTCCTGAGTAGATGGGACTATAGGTGCATGCCACCACACCCAGCTAATTTATTTTTTGTAGTTACAGGGTCTCACTGTGTTGCCCAGGCTAGTCTCAAACTCTTGACCTCAAGCAATCCCTCTGTCTTGGCCTTCCAAAGTGCTGGGATTATAGGTATGAGCCACCACACCTGGCCCCCTTGAATTTTTTTTTTTTCCCCTGAGACAGTCTTGCCCTGTCACCCAGGCTGGAGTGCAGTGGCACGATCTCAGCTCACTGCAACCTCTGCCTCCCGAGTTCAAGCAATTCTCCTGCCTCAGCCTCCCGAGTAGCTGGGATTATAGGTGCATGCCACCACATCCAGCTAATTTTTGTATTGTTAGTAGAGACAGGGTTTCACCATTATGACCAAGCTGGTCCCCAAACTCCTGACCTTGTGATCCTCCTGCCTCGGCCTACCAAAGTGTTGGGATTATAGGTGTCAGCAACCGAGCCTGGCCATACCCACCATTAATTGTAAGGTACTTTCCAATTTTGGAGATGTTAAAACTTGTAAAAATGTGCGTCTTAGAACTGGTAAGATACAGTAGCTAGAAAACTATTTTCTGAGTTTTATTAGTTTCAATGTCTTTAAAAAGTTTTACTTAATATGATTTGATTTTTTTTTTCCTTTTTGGATTAGCTTTCTTGTAAACTGGAGCGGGAATTTCGTTGTGTGGAACTTGCTGATCTAATGACTCAAAATGCTGTGAATTTAGCCATTAAATATGCTTCTCGCTCTCGGAAATTAATACTGGCTCAAAGACTTAGTGAACTGGCTGTAGAGAAGGCAGCTGAATTGACAGCAACCCAGGTGGAAGAGGAAGAAGAAGAAGATTTCAGAAGAAAGCTGAATGCTGGGTAAGAAATAATTCAGTTGTTTGAATTTTCCTTTACTCTCTTGAATGTTAAGTTGATCTTTGCATAGCTCTTTATTGAATAATATTATTTTCTCGGCATGGTGGCTCACACCTGTAATCTCACCACTTTGAGAGGCCAACGCAGGCAGATCACAAGGTCAGGAGTTCAAGATGAGCCTAGCCAGGATGGTGAAACTCTGTCTTTACTAAAACTATAAAAATTAGCCAGGCATGGTTGTGTACACCTGTAAATCCTAGCTACTCAGGAGGCTGAAGCAGGAGAATTGCTTGAACCTGGGAGGTGGAGGTTGCAGTGAGCCGACATTATGCCACTGCACTCCAGCCTGGGCAACAGAGCAAGACTTTATCTTAAAAAAAAAAAAAAGTATATGTATATAATTTTCTCTTAGTTACAGTAATACCGCTACAGAATGGAGCCAGCCAAGGTTCAGAAATCAAGTTGAAGAAGATGCCAAGGACAGTGGAGAAGCTAATGATGCAGAAAAACTGGAAATACATAAGCATGGTGAGAAACACTGTCAAGCCCATAAATGATAAGAACTATCATGGAGGTGGCTTTTCCCATTTTACTTGACTGAGGGAAATTGAATACTCATACTTGTTTCAGACCTCTTTGCTATCTGGTTGTTGAATATTGAGGATGACTTTATTTTCCCCATTTATATTATATTGCTTTATTTTAATCTGTAGGACAGAACTCGTTTCCCAAAAGTACAGATTCCTCTGATGTTTCACCTAAGTCAGGTGAGAAATATTTATAAATTTGCAATATCAAGGAAATTTTGCAAGTCATCTATAAAGTGACACATCTACTCAAATACACCTTACCACTTAGGGCCATTTTGTTTTTGTTTATATTTTTGTTTTTTTAATCCCAGATGTTGTTTGTGAAGCTGTGGTCATTTAACAGATATTTATTAAATGCCTATTGTGTGTCAGGCATTTTACTTAATGGTGGATACAGAAGTCAAATAGACGTGCCTGGTTGATTTATATTTTAATGCTATTTCAGCCCAGCTGAGAAGACAGATGTTGAAGATCTTGGTATCACTAAGGAAACATGCAGGATATTGGAGAAACAGTTGAAAGGAGTTGTAAATAGTTGCCTTCAGGGAGTGGGCCTGGGAGATAGAGAAGGTTAGAGTAGGGCCCTGCTGGCCCTTTTTGGGTTAGGGACCATAAACCTTATAGCACCATTTGACTTTTTAAACTGTGGACATATGTTACTTTGATTTTAAAAATTAACTTTAGAAACATGTAGAGTATGAAAAGAGCATATAACACATAGCTGTCATCTCGTCAGTGGTGGAGGATGGGTAGGGACTCCAAGGCAGTCCTCCTGGAGTGTTTACAGCAGAGACCTGAAGGATGAATAACAGTCAGCAAGGCAAAGGTGCATGGGAACAGGAGCAGAGGAGACGCATTTGGATTTAAGGAACAGTATGTGTGAAGTGAAGGCTGCAAAAAGGTAGTGTGAAAAGCTCAGAGAGCAAAGAGAAAGTGGTGCTGAAGGGTTTTGGAGTGATGGGCAGGAGCCAAGTCATGCGGATCTATGTAGTCCATATTAAGGATTTTGGTCGTGTTTTTTTTTTTTTTTTTTTTTTTTTT